TAATGGTATCTTCTATATATATATATGGAACTTATAAGAAAATTAATGGTCCATATATCCGTCATCAGAAGAACAAATATTCAACTAAGTTCCATGAATCTCGGACCGAAATTCATGGAATTTGGGAAAATTACATGATTGGGTCAAAATTGGGAAAATTATATTATAGCGAGTCAAAATTCATGCAATTTCAATCGAGATTGCATTATTTTAACGTAAAATTGAGTCACGTCAAAACAAGTATAACTAACAGTAATTGACATATATATCTCTGATCAAAATTGAACTACCAGAAGGTGCATCTGTGTATAAGTAGTTACTATCAAACTCCATAATATAGTTAATAAGTATAATTATAATTTAAATTGCACTCATCTCCATTTTTATACATAATATATAATATGATAGAGAGGCGGCTGAGCTGATGAAGTTGACAAATATTAAATTAGGTAATGAGAATAAAATATTATGTAGTAGTTAGCTGCAGCTTAAGACATTGTATGGCTCCACTTTTTTAGACTAAGTTATAGCAATGGGTGTTGCTTTTAATCATTTGCTTCACCAAAATTTTTATTATTATTATTTTGCAAAAAAAAAAAAAATACAAGAAAAGAAAATATATTAAAAAATATTTTTGAGTGAAATATTATTTTTTCTATTAAGACTTTGGGAAGGAAATATTAATGAGATGTTTTGCTAGTTTGAACATATTTTAACTGCATAATAACTCCTAATAAAAGAGTCGTTTAGACCCGTTTAGTGTGAAATTGATTAGTGTTGGATACCCAGCCATGGAATGCATGTGTTTATGAGCTACAAAATGAAATTAAGAAATTGTAATAGCTTTTGTGCAAAGAATAAAAAAACATGTAAGTTGTTCTCATTTTTGTTACTTTGATCTAGCAACAGGTTGATACTGAAAATACTTAGTACGAAAGAATCTTGTCCTTACCATCATTAAATATCTGATAACTACGAGACAGAAATGCATAAACAAAAAGTGTTTTTTAAAAATGATGAGTTGTCAAATATTTAACGATGGTAAAAACAAAACCCCTCCTTACTAGTGAGAAACCAAGTATTTTCTTTTTAGAAAAGGCCACGAAAAGGAAGGGAGAATATTACTCGGAAGAGGGAGTTGAACGCAAGGAGGATGAAAACAAGCAGGGGATACAAGTCTAGTAGTTAAAAGTCGAGGACTGTTTTTCTTAGCTGCTTTAGCACGAGTTGTATTATTTTTACCTTTTTGTGTCTTTTTGTGACGTCGTATTTCAGCTAAACCCATTGAAGGGAGGTTAAGAACTTTTACTTGTGAACTCCATTTCTCTTGCAATTGAAGTTGATGTTGTTTGAATAAAATTTGCATTTATCTTTGATGTTCATGAACAGTGATCAACGTACTTAAACTGCTTGTACCACTAATGTTTGGAAGAGCTTACTCGCACCTTATTAGTTTTATATGATGCTAGAATTATATATTTTCACTTAGAGTAGATACTTGATGAATAAGACCTGCCTAGTACTGCCTAAAAACTGGAATGAATGTTTCGTGTGGAGCGACAGAAGTTGTGGATTAGAAAATTTGGATACTTTGAAAGAATATTATGTCTGTTTGGCTAGTAATAATATCGACTTTGATGCTAGAGTATTGGGTAACAATACTATAATTTGTAGTTTTCATGATGCTAATGAACGGTTGAATATGTTGAAAAAAAAAAGGTAACAAAAGGTAAAAAATGTATTTTTAGCTAGAGAAGGAACATTGGGTAGTAGCAGTTATCATTGCTTTAGTTTCTTCTGTTTGTGTGTTAGTTTAATTGTATATTTTAGAAACAAAAGTATATTTGATTGGGTAGTAACCTCGCCAACTTTACGTCACGAAAAATTAAAAACTTTAAAAACTCCATCTTTTCACATAAAAAAACATTCCTCACTTTATCACGACGTTTTTAAAACATCACAAAAATGGTAGTTTTCCAACTTTTCGTGACATTTGTTAGAAATCTTGAGAACTTCGTATTTTCCCGTAAAAAACGCGTCTCTCCACCTCTTGATATTTAAAAACGTGTTTTCTTCCAACTCTTTGTGGCGATAAAACAAACGTTACGAAAAGCAAAAGGAAAACTCCATATTTTCTCACCAAAAACACGCTTCACACTTTCGTGATGTTTTTAAACATTACGGAAAAATGTATTTATTTTCCAACTTTTTGTGATGGTTGAAAAATGTTATGAAAAGTCAAAACCCATAATTTCATTTCTTTTCCACAAAAAAATGCATTTTTTAGTTTTTGCGACTTGTTTTTAATTTTCGTCCACCCTCCTTCCTTTTAGCTATCACTTGTAGATTTGAGACTGAATTTCGAGTCTCATACCAAATTTATATCCACTCTTACCTATACCTTGTCCATCGATCCATTCCATTGGTAAATTTTTTTGAAATTTGCAATTTCTCTTTGAGCCATGACCTATAGACTAACTGGTTCAGTCTCACTTAATTAAGTCAAATCAGTGTACTCTTCTAGTCTAATTTCTGTCGGAATACCAAGTACTTAAACGTACCTAGATGTTGTTCCAAGTACTTACGTTAATTTTTCTTAATATTAAAAAGTAATTATAACGTATGGTAGATGAAATGGTTCTCGCTGATCTTCTAACCCATCTCAATCACCATTTTATGTTTTGGTTCAAAAAAGGAAAGATGCTTCATGCTCCTTTCGTGATAGAAAAATAAAATTTCATGTTTTATATGGAGAGAATATATTTAAGTGAAAGGAAGGGAGAATAAATTTGAAATCTTTTTTAAAGTGTCTTTTGGAAAAATAAAGGTATTTGAGATAAATTTGGTATGTATTCCTTTCCAAATTCCCAAACGGTTGTACTAAAAAAAATCGTTGACTTTCTTCTCTTGTTGTAGGCACCTTAACAAGTTTCTTTGTTTGATTGTAATTGCATTAATAATCTCTAGCCATAAGATCCATATTTTTCCTTAAAATATACCTAAAATTTCAGAGCGCAAAAAAAAAAAAAAAGAATAATAATAATAAATAAATAAATTAGCTAGTTAGTTTTTTCCCCTTCTTAAAACTACTTTGTACCAATTTCTTGTGACAACTACAAAAATGTTGTTAATTATTTTTATAGTTAATGTTTAAATCACTTTTAAGATGTTTAAACTAATTGAAAATGTCTTTACGATAATGAGAAGTAGATCATTTTCCTTTTTGTTAAGAAAAAAGAGTTGCTTCACTTCGAAACATAGATATTAATTATATTTTTCAAACAAAATATACTTGATCTTTTTTCATTTGATTATGCTTTTATCTTTTAAAACTGAAAGACTAGAACCATGAATACTTTGGCAAGACCAAGATTTAACCCCACATCATGCTATCTAGTCTTTAATGTTTTAAAAGTTTCAATTACATTCTTATACTCAAGATTATGCTTCTATTTAATCATTATTGTTAACATTCCAACTAAATCTGAACATATCAAATTCAAATCAAAGTATAGATGTGTGTATGACACTTTTTAAAGTAAAACTTAAATAAACTCAAGTTGAAAATACATCGACTAAAATTACAATTTAATCCACTTTTGAAATATAAAAAACAAAACTCAAAACAGGAAAACAAATATGTATGAAATATAGAGAGAGCACAAAAATTTAACTCTCGGCTTTTGAAGTCAAAATCATTGTTAAAGTATACACATGCAAACACCTTTGAACTTCTTTATCATCTTAAAAGAATAGTATCTAAGAAGCATCTAACTCCTTAACGTTCATGCAGGCCCCATTTGGCTCGAGTCGAGAATGGGTTAGAGAAACTTTTGTAAGTTATATGATTTTGAAATAATCGTTTTCTACTACCAACAATATAAACAAAAATTATAATCTTTAAGATACTAATTATTATTGAGCATTGACTTGATCGATTCATCATATCCTTTAAGATACTAATTATCAATATATTTTGAGCATTGACTCGATTGATTCTAAGAGATAGTGGTTGCCATCAAAGTTCAATACATCCTGTTTAGCAGAAAGACAAGACAGACATCCCTTGCTCATTATCAGACAATCACTTATTCACGAACCTCGTGTGGGACTAATAGTTTTCATTTCCCACCCCAATCCCTCTCTCTCTATATATATGGTATACTATAACCCATTAATATATCAATAATCAAGTTTTCAGCAACGGTTGGATTACATCACATCAACCCAAGAGCAGATATAATATCAATACACCTTCCTACTAGATACCACAAAGATGCACACTATACCCGTGTGCTTCAAGCTCGAATCTTAAAAAAAATAGGAGCATATGGATTGGTTCAAACCAACGTTATTTTCTATCTCATTCTATCTTTTCACCCTGGTTGTTCATAATAGGCATATTTATTCAAATATTCAATGCAACTTCGACCTCTCCAACAACCCTAAATTAAAAGCTTTGAAGCTCCATTTATCTTTTCCTATGGGATATTCGAAGAAAGAAAGTCCTGTCACTATGTTCTTTTTTATGAAAAACTGAACTTTCATTGAGAAAATGAAAGAATACAAAAGGACATGCAAAAAATAGCCCAATATAAAGAGCCAAACTAAAAGAATGGGCACCAATCTAGCAATATCAAACCTAAGGAGTAATTACAAAAAACTTTGAATACTAAAGTCAAAGGGAAACGTGAAACCGAACAAGGCCCCCACCTCCTTCCAAGATCTCTCCACCTCTCTAAAAATCTTCTAGTTTTCCTCGTTCCACAACCCCCATAAAACGGCAAACAATCTGTCTACCACAAGTACTGACCTCTATCCCTAAACGGAGGGTGATGGAGAATCTCCTCCAACGTCGAGTTGCGCCCCATCACATTTTGTTGACACTTTCAACTTTTTTACAACACCCTCAAACCTAAGAAGTATGTTCAACCTTTGGTTTATAAACATGTATCAAAATTTCATTTTTGGCTCATCTCATGCATGCATGAAAATGGGATTAGACACGAGAATAGGGAGCATATAAATTATTGGGCTCATCATAACTTCACTAGACAGAAGACTCTGGAACAACACTTTACAATCAAATCTTCGGTCTAATAAGTGGTGGCCCCTCAAGTATTAAAGGGTAAAAAAGTCTGAAAGCCACAGTCACAACATGGCATGAAAAAGTGGGAAAAAGATTAATCTAAAACTTATAATCTAATGGCCTACTAGACACCTAAAATATAGAATGAACTGGAGAACTTGAGCATACCTTGATGTGTTGATTCCATTTGATAAGTGGCATATAACTTCTCTAGCTTTGCCACATTGATGGGATGAAAATCATTCTTTCGTGTTTATTTCTCAGCTTCCAGCTAAACTGTTCTGAATTTCAACCTGATGTAAGACTAGAAAACCAGGCACAAAAATAATAGGACCAAAATCTCACACAACCAGCAGCAATCTGTATTAGAACGTTATCTGCTCCAATTGAAACCAGTCCCGGATTTAAGTTGTTACCCAGAAGAACTTGGAACCAACACATTACGGAGTTCATGTGAATGTAAGAGCTTGACACTCAATATCTATCGGTTTTCTACAAGAGAGGCCAGCTGAATGGTTGATCGTCTATTGATCTCATTAGCAAAGCCAAATTGTTGTAATGCTAATAGCACCACTGTCGTTGCACATTAGCTTCGACAAACTGCTTCCATGCCTTCAAGGGCCTATTTGCCTCCCCAAATTCAGAGCTGCTTCCTGTTCTGTAATTCCTGAACAAGCCTCTGGCTGCAAAACTCATGAACTCCGTAGGATCCATGTAACCACGCATCCTTGATATGAATCCACCCTCTCGAGACAAACGCATTCTGAAATACCAATCAGAAACAGGTTGTTCCGCTGAGGAAACATCCAAATTGGGCTGGGTTTGAGTTTCTTGCTTCATGGGAGAATTGTAATCAATGGAAGTAAAGCTCCCAATGCCAAATGAATCCCAATCAATTTGCTGCAAGATCATAGCTGCTCGTTCCATGTCACTCATTGAATAATTTTGCATATTCAATGCATGATCATGGGCTAGTTTTTCTACTTGAACTTTCATTTCAAGCAACCGATTTCCAACTCTTGAAGAAACTGCATCATATAATTTTCCCCTGGAGACCTTGTGTGCACTTTCAGAGTTGAGTAAATCTTCAAATTCAATGGGATCCCCAATAATAATTGTCACCTAAAAATTCCATGAACCACAAGAACATTTGAGAATGCTAAAAATATTGAAGATATATGAGATATATGAAAATCAATTTAAAAGATGAACAATATTTAGATGTGAGAAAGAGAGAGAGAGGATGAAAGACTCAAATGTAACAAAATAATTGACAAGAATGATGCATCATACTGTTAATATCTGAATTTCTTAGGAGCCTATATGGGTAAAGCACCCTACTTTTAGACAACCTACCGTCTTCCCAATCTTAGGAATTTTAGCACCAATCGGCATGATCTCCTGCATCCCCGTGTGCACGAATGGGATAACTGTAGGAACAGTGTCTGCATCTAAAATCAGCCTGCCAGAAATATTGATAGAGAATAGTAAACAGGCTGTGTAACAAAGAGAATAAAAGGTAGGAAGCTATGCTATGAGAGACAGCAAAGATTCGATGACAAATTCATCTATGGCAAAATGCACATTCCTAAAGTAGCTCGTGACTAAAAAACACACTTCCAAATTTGTGTCAATAACACTTCCCCAAAGTTCCCACAAATCTGGCTTTTGAAAAATACTTTCAAGCCATAATTATAAACCAAAAGAACAGTTTCACAGATGCTCACCTCCCGATGCCTCTTTTTGAAGAACCCATTGTTTTCCCACCATCTCGAGAACGACTCCCCTCAGGAAAGATGTGAACCCACCCTCCATGATTTAGTTTTGAAATAGCCATGTCCATACCCTAGAGCCATCAGACAATGATAAGGTGAGAAAACTAACATGCAGATGAAACTAAAATCCAAGTAAATGACACCAAAACTTCAACACACTCAATCCGTTCCATGCACATATCAATTAGATCATATGATTATCACTCTACAGTTTATTTTTAAAATGGAGTTTAATCTATCCAAACATCTTTCTCTAACAGTAAAAGAAAATACTAAGAAAATGACATATGGAGGAAGAGAGGGTTCCAAACATTTATAAAACTATATTCTATTATTCACATTCCAGGATTATGTTTCCCAGGCGATCAGATTGGAATTCAAAGAGGAACGGAAAAAATAAATGTTATGACTGTATATAAAGTAGTGATATCCAATCAGCTCAAAAAATATATTACAATCTCCAAGATCCTTTCTTATACAGAAACATAAAGATAAGGAGAAAGAACGGATTCTCAACACCAAGTATTGATCACTCATTGCTAAATTTTACTCTGATTAAAGACAATAAATAAAGTATTGATCATGAATACAAGGAGGTAATTGGAAATAAACCATTCAAGGTTACCAAACATGTCAGCCACATTTCAAATGATAAACACCACGTATTATAACAACTACGCATAATCTTGCAGAGCTAGTTTAAGACAAGTTGAAAAGGTTGCATTACCTTCTGATAAACGCCATCACCACGGGCAACTGGCAGTACTTTCACGGTTCTAAAAAATGCAGAAGTGACAGGATTGCTAAAACATCGATCAGTTGCACATAAAGTCCATCTCAAGTTCTGTGCATCAAAAAGTACGCGTGGAGGCAGCAGTGCCGCAATTACAAAAGGGTCGTCTACAGAGGCCACGTGATTGCTAACCTGAAAAAATAGGGAAAATAATACAGCACTCCATCGGTACCACAAATTACTCTAATTTTGATTCTTTGAAGTTTGGCGATGCATCCAGCTAAACCAGGTGGAAACATATAAAAATGGAATGATGAATAAATTAATAAAGATCCTCACTGTAACAAGAGGTTGGTCCTTGGGTCTGTGCAGCACTGCTTTGTGTAGTTTCTCCAAACCGTATACCTAAAAGAGAAGCCAAATGATAAAGAAAAAAAGGCAAATAATGAATAAATAAATAAGAAAATATCACACTCCACCAGTTTTCAGCACCTGGACACGATTCAAACCATGCATAAACACATGACAAACGTTCCCAAGAACAGGAACAGCTACGGCTTGAAGCATCCGAAGAATGACCGATTCTTCTCCATCATTGAAATCCTCCCCAACTGTCTCCATAAAAACTAACTTCAGATATTGCAGCTCTCACAAAATCCACTACTCAGAACCATCACTTCATAAACAATTTTGTACGAGCATATAATCGATTAATTAAAACGCAAATATTAGGTTCTCTGAGAGAATAACTAATAAACTTCATTCGATCAAAAACCTGCTATAACAAGTTATTAGTTGCTCAGTAAAAGAAATCCCGACCTCGCTTCCGATAAAAAGTAGTGGAGGACGGCAAATCCTGACGAAAATCACGAAACCTCTGAAGCCAAAGACGGAGCGTGAAGGAGAAGTAAGAATCGGAGAAAATAGGTCGTTTGCGGCGGTGTTTGTCGACGGCGACACGGAAGCGGTCCCGGAGGCGGAGCTGCAGGTACCGGGCCTTGTTCTTCCAGAGATCATTGCGGTCAATGAGATTCAGAGCCATAGCATTTGAGACTTGAGAGAGAGAATTGAAAGCAGAGCGCCGGAGTTGTGGATTACAGCGGCGGAGGGTTTGATCGGAGAGATCTCGGAGAAGGAAGCGAAGTGGAAATTTTGAGAGATGAAGGAAGGAGAGGGGTTTTTATTCCGTGTATGTCGGTCTACGATACACCGGTTTTCCTATCCGAGTCATCAAATCAGATGGCCCCACTTTCACTTTATAACCATTCTTGGATTTACAACAAATATTTCCAAATCACCAAAAATTAAATTAAAATATCGCCTCCCAGATTGATTTTTTTGAAAATTAACAAAAGTGTAAAGGGCTTTTTTTTTCATTTAAAATAAATTATTTATTTAAATATTATTATTTCAAAACTATTTTTTTTTAAATAGTGTAGCTTTAATTTGGACGTTGTAAAGAGATAGACGGTGACTTCACCATGCGCCAAACTAGCTATAAATTATGTCACTTACACAAAGTAAGACCATTTCAGCAAGTTAAAAACTAAAATATTTTAAAATATATTTTGGTATAATTATGTTTGAATAATTAATTTTATATTACAATATTTAAAAAAAAAATCATGGTTTCTTAAGACTTTTATATATAGAGCATAAATGAAGGGTTAAAAAAATGATTTATTATCCTTAAATGAGTTGTATCAATTTTCATAGTAATCTTTCAATTTCATTAACTAAACCCTAAGCTTAGATGAGTGTTGAAAATTTTAATCTTTTTTTAATTTTTATTAATTCACCCACTAAATTTAACAAAAAAAATAATGTAAAATTTCTAAACTCACTAATTTAATAAAAATCAAGCTTGGTAAAAACAAATTAAGTTTTATCAATTGCACATATTAAATAACTCCAAAAAAAACTCTATAATCTTTTTTGTTTAAATCATGTAAATTACCTACCAAATATAAGTTTTATAATTCCATTGAAACATGTGAGAATAGTTTTTTCAACCATTTTCAAATTAAAATCTATTTGAGCGTAAAATTGACATAGTTTTTAAAGTTTAAGGTTAAGATTTTAACGCTATATCAAAGTTTAAAATGTAATTTGATGAAGTTGAAATTTAAAGTAAAAAATTATACACGTTAAAATTTATATTTTCTATATATATTTGTATTTTATTTTTAAATGTGGCAGAAAGTTTAAAATCTTACAAAAATATCATAATTCAAATCAAAATTAAAGTCAAATTTAATATGAAACATATCTTGAAAAGTCTATATTTAACCAAGATAAAAAGTTGTACAATTTTAAAACACAAGATACTGAACGAAAATTTTCATTTTTTTCTTAAAATATTATATCATAAATACATAATAAGAAGATTCGAACCTACAACTTTGTAACATATATTTTAGTCACTAATTCATACTTAAGCTTCCACCTGCATAAGGTTTAATTTGGGTATGTTTTTTAAAATTTTTGATTTATAGATTAAATATTTAAGTTAAATTATTAATTATCCTTCTCATTTGGACTGGGTAATTACATGCTTGTTTTGAAAATTTCAATTGTGTCCTTGTGATTTGGTCGATTATGAAAATATTCTTTATTAATACAATATGCTACCATATTTTAAATATGTGATATGCTTTCTATTTATATGGTAATAGGTGGTGTTTTATATGGTTTTATAGTGAGTTTTTCAAGTCAATCGAAGAAGAATTTGTGACCGTAAAAATTTAATTAAATTATAAGAACAAAATTAAAATTATACTCGAAATATAGAGAATAAATTAAATTGGAATTAAGTCCAAATGACACGAGGCTAATCTGATAAGGTAATCAACCGTATAAAACTATTTTCCATTGTTTTCACATTTTATAAATTGTTTGGAACGATATGTTTTTGTCTTTTATTTTCAGTTACATCTCTCGCTTATATCTTTTCTATATTCCATCCCGTTCTTGGATTTTGAAAATCAAAGTCAAGTCGAGGAATCCTTGTATACAGACAAGAGCCTTTGCAGAAAAAATTAACAGGTTAATAATTAATTTCAATTATTTTTAAATATTTACGGTAGTAATAGATATTTTATCCATTAAATTATGTTCAAGTAGGCCAATTTGATCGCTGATTTAATTTATTTGATCATGTAGTCAAGATGGTCTCTAACTCCAATTTCAATTTAACTATAGGTATGTTTACTAGAATTAGTAATTTTAGAAAAAAAGATTTAAGTACAATTGACTTTCTAAAATCATCATTCAACATGATATCTTAAAAATTAATTTAAAGTAATTTTAAACTTTTCTAAAATCAATTTTTTCCTTGTCAAATATGACCAATGGAAAAAGAAGTGATTTTGACGATAACAAAAATTATTTTAGCCATGCACCCTTAATTCCTTGTGCCCCTAGCACAACAATGCAATCATCAAGGGCACACCTGATCTACCAAAAGCGAAAGAAATCTCATCCTTCTCTTTTCTCTATTTTTGCCCCCATGTCACCATACGAAACGGAGACGTAAAAAGGACTCTATAGTTCAAGAAAATGAAAAGGAATAGATAGAAAAAAAAGTACATAATTAAAACATGATGGTTTCAAATTGATTCTTCTATCTTGACAAATTAGAATCATGGTATCATCATAATTAGCATATGAAGATTTGGAAATTTGGCAAAGGATTGCCAGTGTCCAAGTAGTTGACATCAACCACAGTCTCCCCGAGATCATCTGGAAAACAAGGATCACTTGTGTAAATCAATCAAATCATTAAATCATAAATTATTAGTGTCTATTTAGTCCCTCAATCACATCTTTGAACTTCGAGTTATGTTTCGATTTAGTATCTATTACTAGTATTCGTTTTAGTATCTATTACTAGTATTCGTTTTAGAATCTATTACTAGTATTCGTTTTATTATCTATTACTAGTATAGTAAATGAATAGCTAATATTCTAGTTGATGCACCATGACGAGATAGATGGATGACATACATAAATTAACAAAACTAAATTGATTAAATTAGGTTAAATTATAAGTTTAGGGTTGTGTAAGATCCTTGAACTTTAAAAAGTATAGAAATTTAATTTATTTATCTAATAAGCCCTTAAACTTTAAAAGTATTTAATAAATAAATGATCTATTAAACACAAAATTGATTGTTCATAGACCCATCAAATGTAACCACAAAAGTTCAGATGCTAAACTTATAATTTAACTTTGTATAGCTTGTTACATCACGTCAATCAATGAAGAACTATTAAATATACATGTTATGTCAACATTATATTAATAATGTTAACGACAAAAAATAAATAGATGCATTTTGCAAAATTAAAAAATGTAGTTCAAAACTTTTTAAAAGCTCAATAGTTGGATACACACCATGCTCAAAGTTTGAGAATCAAATTTATAATTTAACCAAAAAAATCTCAAAATCAAGAGCCAAGGAGAAAGTTAGAGAAACAAACCTTCATAGATAGTTCTTGCTACATGTACATATTCAGGTATGATATCTCTGTATATAATTCCATCTGGATGAGCATCCAGCACCACAAGAACCCCTATCAATTATCATGGACATTTTTAGTTGAAAAATAAATAAGATAATAAAAAATGTAGCATAGTTTCGACAGGTAACAAATCTCTCTCTTCTAAAAGAAATATGAACAACAAATTTTTATGTGCATCTCAACAAATTTCATAAGACGCCAAAGCAAGCATAGGTAAATAGTAATTGACATATATCTCCAATCAAGAGACTATGAAGTTCAATCCCCATCCCACGTGTTATACTAAGAAAAGAAAATAAAAAGTTCATATTTAGGGTCTATTTGATAACATTCTAGTTTCTTAGAAAACTCTTAAAAGATTCTTGTTTCTTAGAAAACTCTTAAAAGTTTCTTGTTTACTGTTAACAATTTTTTTAGAAACATTAAGAGTTTGGTAACTGTTTTTGTTTCTTATTTTTTTAAATTGTAAAAATTTTGGAAAAGACAAAATTTTCCATTTTTCAATTTTTTTCAAAACATAAATAAAAACATTACTTTGTCATTCTTGACTTACAAAATGTATAATAAATATTTTAGAAATAAGTAAAACATAAAAATTTTGAATATTTAATTAATTAATTTTTATTCCTTACCAAAAAAGTAATTAACTTTCATTTAAAAATTTTACTTTTTTTTTTCAAATTAAAATTGTAGAGAACAACAAGAAATGGTTACAAAACATATTTATGTCTCTTTTTTCAATAAAAAATAAAAAACAAGAAACAATTACTAAATACAGTTATGTTTTCCATTTTAAAAAGGAAGAAATAAGAAACGAAAAAGGAAAAACGAAAAACAATAAATAGGAACGTTATGAAAAGAGCTGACGAATCACGAGCAATGGAAGGTTGCATCCGAGATAGATGGCCAGTGGCTACTATGATGTAGACGATAACTTCAAAGCCTAGGAAAGATTACCTGGTGCCTCCCAGTCCTTGGTAGAATTGCTGGGCATTGGTGCCAACCAGAGAATATTTCTCAAGTTTATTGAATCATCATAGGCTACATTAGATCCTACATTAACAAATTCTAGAATTAGCAAACAACTAAGCATTAGAAACATCACTATCTTCCTTTCTTAAATAAGAGAGAGAGGGAAAGGACTTCTATGAGGTTTAACTGTTGAAGAAAAAAGTAGATAAAGTACAAATAGTCAACAAAATCTAAAAAGTAAATTAGAAAATTACATCACAAAGTTCTAAAATTTTAAACCTGTAACCAAATGAATCCTCCTGGCCAAAGAAAAATGACAGAGAGTTCGTCGAGATGGGCACTAAATACTTTTCGAGATATATCTCCCAAGACACTAGTATGGCAATCAAAATCATGAACATTAGCACGAAATGCTTCCATATCCAAGTGGTAGTATCAAGACCCTTATGACCCAATCTGGCCCATTCCTTGAAAGTTCTTATAGAATCTCTATCTACCAAAATTTTTTACTTCTGGTTTTGATGAACGAATATTCCCACCAACTGAACCTATGAGAGATTTTTATACTTAGTTTCTTTCTCTGCTATCCCTATCAGCCATCTGTCTGCATTTTTTCTACCATTAGACTTCGGCCATCTGCCTGCATTTTTTCTACCATTAGACTTCTAGCCCATCCATATTTTTCTCTCAAGTTCAGTCTCATCCATATTTTTCTCTTTAGTTTTTTTTCCATGTCCCTCCATATCTTATAGAGGGGAGAAGGGGTAACTTTAGGTGAAAAGATCAAACAAAAGCAAAGCAACAACTTTTTGTCTAAGTTTCTCTTTCTTAACTTAACCATAGTTAATTAAAAGAGTTGCTTTTAAGTAAGAAGCACATATGACAAGGAGAGGAGTCTGGAGGAGTTTGAGGTGACCTAGCTTAAACACAAAGCATGCTTCTTAAGAGATTTTATAACGAGCTAGGTCACATTTGATAATCATTTATTTTTAGTTTTCTATTTTTGAAAATTAGGCTGGTTTCCTAGTAATTTCTATGGTATGTTACTTTCACCTTTGAATTTTAAAAAAAATAAAAATAATAAAAAAAAAGTTTTTAATTATTACTTTTTAAGTTTACAAATTTGGATTTGGGTTTTGAGAACATTTCTAAAAGGTAGATAACAAAACAAAGAAATGTGGTGTTCAAGGGCTACCAAAAAACCGAACTGACCGACCGAAACTAACTGAATCGAAGTCGATTGGTCGGTTTGAGAGGTGGGCAAATCAGAGGTAAGACTTGGTCGGTCCGTTCCATTGAACCTACAAGAACCAACCGTCGACCGATAAGTCCAATATATAGTAAAAAAAAAAACTACTTCCTTTTTCGTATCACTTTCACTTGAATCACGTGAATACCTTCCTCCCTCTATTCACGTAATTCACTTATTAGTGATTTCTCTCCTTTTCTTTTCCTGAAATCTTCCCAGGCTGTTCATGTGATTCACCTAAATTGCTATTTTTTTTATTTTTTATTTTATCTTATATATTTAATCTTGTCTTCTCCCTCAACCATTCCTTTTCTCTCTCATATACTCCTATGTTTTCTCCTTCCCTCTCTCCTTTATTTCTCTTTTTCCTCATATTTCCTTTCCTACTCCATTCGACCTCTCTCACCCTTCTAATTTTTTCTTTAATTTTTCTTCTTTCAACTTTCTTACTCTATCTCTTCTCCATATCTCTCTTCCTCTTTTTCCTCCTCATCTCTTCCTATTATCTTTCTCCCTTTTTCATTGTCTTCTCAGCAATGGATATACCAGATGTACATAGGAGAGACAAATCCTTCCAGCGTTCAACACCATCTCCCTCCTCCATTTGAAACCCATTTCCCTCCTCCATTCGAAACCCATCTTCCTCCATTCGAAACCAACCGACCTTTCTGCAAATGGTCGGTCGATTTATACAAAGAGAAATAAAGAAGAAGAAAACACTAATGGACCGAAAACCAAAGGGTTGATGGTCGACACCGATGGACCAATGAACACCCCTGTAAAGAAACACGTGTGAAAGTAAACTAAAAACCAAATGGTTATCAAACAGAATGTGGTTTTATGTCAAGGCTAATGATCTAATACTCTATGCTTCCGTTCATGTGAAAAAGCATTCAATTCTATGGAGATGAGAAGTAAAAAAAAATAGCATATTATGCATCATACAGTTTGTCTTTGTCATACCTATTTGACAGTAACCCATGTTGTATGGAAAAACCTTTTCATCATAAGCTGGGAATTCTTTGGCATGAAACCTGCCAAATGCAAAACTTGTTACATTACATATCACCTAAGAGAAAACATGAAATCTCCAAAGATCAAATAGCAGGTTTCGGGGAGGAAAAAATGAAAGAAAAAACTCACAGAATACCGAGCCTGTTGTTGTCGAAGGCAATAAAAAGATGACCGTGAAAAAAATCGAAGCGATCCAATGTAATGTTTAATCCCATTGCAGCAGATCGAGCAACAATGATCTCAAACAGAAACTGAAGGTATGAATTTAGTTCCTGCAATTTCAATACCAAGCTTCATTTGTAAGTCCCTATTAAACGTCATAAGGATCATAAATATAAACTTCTTGGAGTATAAAGATACACCTCACTTATGAAGCGTCTCCCATATGGTGTTCTTGTGAGCTCGCATTTGTGTCTTTTTGATCCGTCAATGCTGGGTATCTGTTACATTACTAAAGCGGGTAGGGGTTAATGAACTTGGTTACCAATCTTAATTGAACTATTTAAATTTTTTTTTTTAATGTGTTAACCTTATCATCACCACATAACACAAGACTTTCAATTATCACAAAATAAAGAGCAAAGATAGAAATTCATTATTTGTTCGTAATTTGACTGAAGAGCTTAAACTATTGAGATAGAGTAATTTATTCTCAACATTCTTTTTGACAGGTAAACTTTAATTCAGTTCATGAGATCCAATACATAAACTAATTATGATTTAAACTCAAGACTTACTATTTGAGTATCATATTATCATGTTCGATTTAACCGAAAAGCTTATGTGGTTCTAATTAAAATTAACCCATATACTCCAAAGATAAGCAGCCAACACAGACTTGCATATTAATTTGATTCACAACACTCAGCAGGAACACTAATTACAATGATTTAAACTGAAAACTTGTCCAATATTGAGATGACCATTAAACCAACAAACTTAAGCTACTAGACTACACTAAAACTCTCTAACATCTACATAGTAATGAACAAGCTAAATAATTAAAGTGGCCCTAATATATTAGGTAATTCTAAATTTTGCCTCTAATCAAGTTCTCAATGTTACATTAACGATTTAAAAATTCTCAAGGTCATCCTATAAAAGATGGTCAAATTTTGTTAACAAAAAGTCGATGCATCATTTTAGATGTCACTACTATGCTGTTTGACTCATGAAACTCAACCCGTGCATCAATAAAATTCACTTCAATGTCAACATTTTGCAATTTTATTAGATTTTTTCAACAGAACGTCCTAATAAGGAAAGAAATTACACTCACAGGGATCACAGCCGGATCAAGGGCGCGATGGATAGCCCCAGGGTCTCCACCAGAGTCAACAGCAAGCCGAGCGAGTTCGAGAACCGACTCCGGCGGCCACCACACGAGCTCATCCTCGTCTCTCCGACTCCTAATCCGGCCACTGAATCTGTTCGACCTCAAGCTCCGTCTCCTGGAGCTTGGATGGAAGGGAACGAGGAATTTGAGGCAAGATTTTAGTTCCTGCGCTACGCTAGGGTTGACGGCGGAAGCTTGGGGTTTAGAACCGAGAAGATTGAGCAAATCCGAGGGCGTAGCTCTGGGAATCGGCGATTGCGATGGCGGAGGAGAGGATCGTTTGTGGTAATTGGGAGAGAGAGCGAAGGGGGTGACGGAGAGAGAGAGGGAGAGGAAAATGGTGAATCTGAGAGAGATTGAAGGGTTACCCATTGGAGCTCTGTCCGTAGAGCTGGTGGTGGCTGTGGAGATGAAAATGCATTGCAATGGAATTGAAGAACTCAGAAGAAAGATGACAATGGAGGACGACAAGGATTTTGGATCAGATCGGCAAAGATGATGGATGATTCTGGACTCGGTGGTAGCTCTGCAACTAATTTTCTTCCCCTCCACTCGTATCCACAGAACCTTTTGAATATTATCATAATCTTCCAAAGAGTAGAGCATTAATAAAATTTGTTCAAACTATGCTTCAAAAGTTTCGTTTATAGGATTTTTTTAATTTTTTATTATCTAAAGACTAATATTTTCAGAACTCATTTTTTAAATATTCTAACTTTCAAAAAGAAAAATATATATATATATATATATATATTACACTTGGCAGTCTTCTAATATTTTTTTCCTTTTTTCCGAAAAATTAACTGAATATAGAAAACAAATTCGTTAAAAAAAAATCTAACGAAATTTTAATACAAACCAATTTTTAAAATATCGATTTAACTAATTAAATATTTAAAATTTTAAACTAAATCTATATTGGGAAGCTAAAAAATCTAATTTGAGTTAGAATTTGAATTTAAATCTAACTAAGAGATGAATTAAATTTAAGAATATATTTAATTTTCATCAATTTGTTAAAGTTAGATTTAGTTTAAATATGTTTAATTAGTTCAATTAAATTTGTTTTAAGATTTTGTTTGACTTTTTCTTATAACATATTGTTAGATTTTTAATTTAGGTTAAAGTTTGTTAAAAAATAAAAATCTTGGACGGTCAGGTGCAGTTGGTATGGATTCTCTCCTTTCTTTGTGTCTGTTTAGGGACCCGCAACAAGTCCAAAGGCACGGTTTGTCATCTCTTAAAAAAGTTTTTGTACCTATTTTCAATTTTAAAAAAACCAGACGTGGTGTTACGTTTTAAATGTCGATGTCGATGAAAATGTCGACATATCAATTTCATTGAAATATCGATAAAATATCAATGTCGATGTCGATGGTTATTTCTATAAAAATTAAAACTATTAAAAAATCATAAAAAATATTTAAATTAACAAATAAACATTTTTCCATTGCTAAATTAGTTAAAAATAATTAATATTAATATTATACATATATATATATATTAATTAGTGACATTTTGTTGATTTTTTTTCACATTTTATCGATTTTCTTGTATTATGAACCATGGTGTTAACAGAACGCTACGTCTTATAATCGTCTTTTAGAGGAGACAACTGAATAGTATGTTCGTCTCTAAGAGATCAAGTGTCAAAAACATTATTTTTAGAATAAATTTCAACAAATGTATTAAACATTTAATATGTTTCAAATAAGCAATATTTTACGACTAAATTTGAAAATAAGCATAATTTAAAAATTAGTTTTTAAAATATTAATATTTTTTTAAAAAAATCCCTGTTCTCTACCGTCAATCATTAAGGTTGTTTTAAATAAAATATGACATGGTTACATTAAAAAAATATGACGTGACAATGAATCGTAAAATAGAGATGCACAATACATACGGTTCAATTTATTTAGGGAGGTTGGGATGAATTTCAATTATACTCGTGTTCAAAATCTCAAGTTAACTCTTAATTTTAAATTGTTAAAACAACTTTAATGTTATCTTCATTGTTAAAGCTAAGAGTATAGTTCGGGGACTAAGACATTTTGCTGTTTTGGTCAAAATTTCAAACCTCCACCCTGTACTCGAAAAAACATAATTTTTCCTCATGAAAATTTGATGTAAGAGTGAGTTAGTAAAAAACTTCGAAAGTTCTTTGTCACATCTAAAAGAATGTCATTTAGGGAATAATTTTGAGAGTTAAGTTAAAATATTGTTCCTCATTACACGATCAAAAGACTTAGAAGGAAAAAAAAATTCAAATTAGATAAGAAAACCACAGACGACAAAAAAGATTCGGACCTCTTTTTTTTTTATTTTTTACTCAACATACGGGAGTGGGGATTTGAACATTTAACTTTTCAATCTAAGATATTTGCTATGATATGGTTAAAAATTTGGTGTTACATTGTACTGAGTTCTGTAGTATATTTCTTTAATTCATACGTAAAAAAGCGTGTTCATGGAAGTATAGTATTGTCGAATCAAGATTTCAAAAAGAAACTAAGACGGTTCTACTCTCCATTTCAAATTAGTCACGACAATATAGGATTTTGCCCTTTGACGAAGGAAGATAATATTAAGGGCCTTTCTACCGTACAAAAGTGACTAATGTTATGAAAAGGTCGTGAAAGGCTTCTTGAAACCATGATAATGGAAGAAGTTTGAGAAATGGATGAAATTGCCTCTATCGCGATGATTTGATATGTAGGAGACAATGTACTTTATCAAATCGATGATATGTCGCATATGAGAAAGGTTGGAACAATTGTTCTTGTCAAAATCACTTCAAAAAAAGATATATTTGATAGAAAGATTCTTCGAGTACAAAATAGATCCATGAAAGAATTTGGGAAATTGGCTCAAATGACCTTCATAAGTTTTTGAAATGCTCAAATGACCTCCTCTTTCAAAATGTGCTTGGATGACCCAGTTTAATATTTAATTGAATTTAAAAAGAAATGAAATTACACTATTACCCCTCTATTCAAAAAATCAAACCATTTATCGGACGTCTCTTTCTCTTTTCCTTCTCTGTTCAAAATCGCTTTTGTTCCATCATCTTCTCCGTTTGAAATCGCTTTCGTTCCATCTCCTTCTCTGTTAATTTTTGCTCTTTTCCATTGATTTGAATGCTAGGGCTTCGATTTCCATCGCTGTTGAGGAGTTTAATGTTTTATTTTTCCATCGATTCTGTTTTCCGGTATTTGGATGAACGAATACAAGAATTACATTGCATCGATTTAAGTTTGTTTCTTGTGTATTTCATGTTTTGAAAAATAGGAAAACTGATTACTGTTTGTGTGTTCCTTGTTCTTGATTCTT